CAGCACTGGCAGACAATGAGAGTTACAGCAAAAGCTTTTGCCCTATGTAGCTCTGTTCTATATATGTGTATCTGTGTGATGTTTTACATTTAGCAATTGTCTTCACGTTAACATCCAGCCAGTATTACAGAAAATTCTCACTTAGGAATTTCAGTTCATCTTGAGGATGTCAAACACAAAATGTTTTCTAATCTAATCTAATCTAATCTAATCTAATCTAATCTAATCTAATCTAATCTAATCCAATCTAATCTAATATAATCTAATCCAATTTTATCTAATCTAATATAATTAATATAATATATAATTTTCTTTCAAGCACATGACTGCAAGTGTTAATGATCTGTAGAAATGTCACATTTGCAGCTATTCAGTTAACAATATACATTTTTTTTTAATTGTTTTTTTCAATATTACCAAAGTTTCTAGTTCACATATTCAACACACAATATAGAATTTAGTCAACATATTTCTATTTTGTTTCCTTTTGTTTTGGTTAGGACTCTCCTGTAGATGGTGGACACTGGCACGTCTGCATCTGCAGGTGTAAACTTCCCTTATTGAAGGTGAGCCAGGTTTGAGTGGAACTGCAGGTCCAGGGCTGCAGGTCTGAAACTGCTGGCAGTGCAGCTGTGCAACTGGATGATACTGGCTTACCATGGTTGTTTAAGAGGTTTTGCATCAATGATACAATGTCCTATTTTTAAGCTCTTTTGTAAACAGCACAAATTAACACTACACACTATAATATGTAAGGTGATTGCCAAGGAGTCTGTAACCCTGACCCACCATAACACTGGGTTTTGTCAACAATCTTTTATGTTTCTGTACCCTCATAATGTACCTCATAGAGAGGCCTTCATGCCCATGAAATACATGAATTAGAAAATTTAGGAGGGGCATCTTATTTCATGTCAAACTACTTAACACGAGTAAAAAAAAATTCCTGTGTGTTCCAGCTTGTGCAGGCCATCATCAGTGTTCAGCATTTGAATCTGAGTACAATCAGGTGTTTTCAGGGTTCTGAGTAGATATACATCTGTAGGCTCTGGCCTCTGTGCAGGGCTTCATTTCCACTGAATTGTTGGCTCAGAGCTGCCCTCTGTGTGCATACCTGTGCTTGTGCATGAGTTTCTGCATGTGTGTGTGGTTCTTTGTGTGTGTGTGTGTGTGTGTGTGTGTGTGTGTGTGTGTGTGTGTGTGTGTGTGTGTTTTGCTGGCACCTTGTCTGCACCAAAACTTTTCAATCACTGAAATTGAGAGGAACACGGTGCAAACAGGACAGCAGAGGTAGACGTGTACATTTGGTGGCAGGATCCTTTGTGTTGCTGCACAATGTTCGGCTATATGCGAACATGTCATGCGTAAAACATTAAACAAAGCTTCATTGGGTGCTAATAGAAATGTTCTCGTCTACTACATTGAGCTGTGTCTCTCGACATTTTCCCTTGAGCAACAGAAAAGTGGATGGAATCAGCATTAAAGTAAATTTCCAGAATGGTCACATGACTTCTTACCTTTTTAGAGTCAGGATTTTGATCAAGGAATGCCTCCTGCTCATCTCTGATCAACTAAGTGCATAAAAAAAGATGAGACTTCTCTTTTAAATCAGGCAGAAAGGAATGCACATGTACTCTCAGCTCGCCTTCGGGCCTTTGCTTGCACCAAACATGTTTCTGGAGTGCAGAAAAGAAGACTAATAGCACCTACTGGGGGCTCCCACATGCATACAACTGTATCATAAACTGCCATTATGACTCACCTTCAAGTTCTCTCTTAATAATGAATGAATATTTTTATGGTATCATATACAAATGATTAACAAGCTGCAAATAGTAACACTGGAACTGTGCTAATAAAAGGGTAGACTGAGTAAAATGGGCTGTAATCAGACTCTTCTCGTTTGATTTTAGACTATTTTATTTTAATTTACTTGGCAATCGCTGTAATGTTATTGCCATAAATTACCCCATCATTAGTTATTCTCTATGAAGATTTGATACTAATCTCACAAAATGCTGATTCTTTTTTCCAGAGCTGACTTTATAATCCTATAATGAATCTGTCCTTTAATTTTAAAGTCAAGCGAAGTACTGTCATTCTCTTGTTGTGTGTGTGGGAACACATGCATACAAGTGGAGGCATGAGTGTGTCTGTGCACTTTCACAAACTTTTCGAACATATCTGCCATGCAGCTGCTGCGCTTCGGCTGTTTTTTCTGCGCAAAATCCTGACCCACCAAGAAGATGCCCACAAAATTGTACTTAACACAGGCTTTTTCTGGTGAACTCAGCCCTAACCAAAACATTCACAGTTCAATACATCCTCTTGGAAAAGCTGTAAGTGAGATAGAGAGAGGCACGCAACTTTCCCGGTACTGTCGCAGCTTTAATGAGCCTTCACTCCTTAAGCTTCCCGGAGAGAGAGAAAAAAAATCAAATGAAAGACTACCTTCATGAAACAAAGACTAAGGTTTTCAAATTCTCTCATTAAAGACTCTCAACCATGATCCATTTCCCAAGCCACCTGATTCATCAGCTACTAAATGATGCCAAAACAAAGGGGTGTATCACACACATACACACAGTCAATTAAAAATACCCTGTGTTCATGGGAATAATTGGAATATTGAAAATAACAGGGATACAACTTAGTATTTTGTGTTTTCTTGTGTTCTTAGAGTCAGATCAATAATATTCCCTCTAAATGAGCAAAAGCCCCGATAACAAAGGTTGAAAAGCTCCTCCAGCTTAGCCTTAACCTGAATAGTGGCACTGTGGGGACACCTAACATAGAATTAAATGCAATTATGAAAAAATGTTTCCAACCCAAGAGGTGCCTGTGAGAGGGAAACCAGAGAAGCTGTATTCATTTCACACAGCCCCGGGTGCTGAGAGGATATGGCAGTCTTTTTCATATTGGCAGCTGTTTGATCAGACTAACAGCGCTCTTTAGCCGTACCATAGCTGCAGGTCTGATCTAAACACCTCATCAGATTCAAAGGAGACGCCGCGTCTCCAGTGCACTCCAGGCTCTTTCCATAAACACAGCTGAATTATTCCTTTGAGCACATTTGCTCGGTACTGGCCTCCATTTTTCTTTCAAAAGACAAAAGATATGGAATAATGTTGCCCACTGTGTTTTACACTGCTATATCTTCCAGTAAGGGTGTGAAATTTTACCGTGAGGGCATCTGATAGATTGTAGATGGATTGTAACTGATAGTCTTCTCTGTGCATTGTGGGAAATAACAGGGAATGCAGAAAGCAGCAAAAGAGAAGGGGAGAAAGAATTCACCACAGACACTGACAGTGAAAGGAGGTGTAGCTTGCGTGGTTCTATGCTGTGTGTTGATCATGGCTATCAGAGCCATAGTAGATGACTGATAACTGAGGTGTGGTGTTGTATAAGTATGTGTGTGTGTGTGTGTGTGTGTGTGTGTATGTATGTGCGTGTGCTCCTGTGCGATCTGAATGACTGCACAACAAAGAGTCTGAATGGATTTAGTCAAAGCTCAAACGCTGATGCAGCTGCATTCCGGGAGGTTTATGATGTGAAACACCAAAGGAAAGGAAACAATGATCACATTCATGAGATGTCATTTTCTTCCACGTTTATCTGAGGAATTTTTGAGTTTTTTTTTCTTCTTTTTTCATAACGTAATGTGTCCACCTTATCCAAAGTGGGCCTTTGTTAGAAGGCTTTGTTTGAAAGCTTGACCTCATTCTCACTAATAAGATACAGGCCAGTTACGTCTGCCATCCATCTTTACATACATATGTACTGTAGTCTTGTAAATGTTAAAGCCCCCCCCCCCCCCCCCCACTCGAAGATGTGTTTTGTTTATTGTTACTTCACTTTGATGTTTGACCTTTACTGTGAAAAACGATGTTTGACACTAAAAGGCCGTAATACATTATTCTACTGAAGAGGAAAAGTTTCTCTGTCTCAGTTTAAGATGTTTTTGTATGAGCTGATTTTGCAACATCACAATTTTCGCAAGCCAATCATGGTTCAGTATCAGGAGCCTTAAAAAATTATTAGACCATCATAAGTGGAATATTTTATTTACAATGTGTTAATAACAATTTCTTTCTATTTTCTTGTTTATGGTAAAAAAGGAAAAAAAAAAGGAGGGCCTCTACCCCCCCGCCTGGTGCCTGGCCCATCAGATGCAGCTTCAGGCTCAGCAGCCGTACCAATGAACCACCCCCACTTCTATAAGTAGGTAAGCAGCATTATGACATGTCAGTTGGCATAATTGTAGGTGGTCCATGAAAATTTTTTTATCTTTATTATTATGCACAATTTTCTCAGTGAAGATAGTTGCACATCCAAATGTTGCACAAACGTGCATTGGAAAGTGTCACTTCAGACTTGAAAGCTATTGCTTAGCATCCTAGCATGTTAATGTTAATGCTGCATGCATGTCTGCAGAGTGTTATAGTTTAAGGATTGACGTGGCCTGTGGTGATGAAGCCCAATGTGTTTACCCTTTAAGGGCCAGAAACCCCTGGCAGCACCCCTGGATGTAAAGAAGAGGTAAACAAAGTGTTCTGTGCAAAAACCATATCAGATACAAATTATTATTCTAAACAGAGTATTGCCAATCAGTTTGGAATGTTCTCTCCAGAAAAGAACACGTTGATGAAATGAGCTCTGTTTACATTAAAAGTGTTGCTTCTAACGACCACACTGGAAGGTGGATCGAAAAGCTGGCTGTCAAAGAGAGGGAGTAGCTGTGATATCGTTTAAAAATTAGATTAACAGTGAACATTTTCAGACAGTCTCTCCTGGAAGACATTCATTATGTTGTACTCAGGTGTTCACATTAAACTCTGACCCTAAGGCTGATTACTTCAGTGTAAACCTGGACATGCTTTCAGAAGATGTATTTTCACAGACTTCATTTTTGTGACATTGCCTATTTTGGATGCTTAGGTTTTGTTAAAATTCGGCAAAAGCAGTAGAAGACAGGAGAAAGATTAGAGTATAAAAACTTGTATTTTGTTATTTTTATTTTCATAAATCCTGTTATATGGTACAAAAAGTCATCATTGTTGAACCTGACACTAATCGGGCCTTGACAGTAGCTCTCGTGTTGCCAATTGTAATATCTTACAAAGGAAATAGCAGAAAGCCACTAAAGGTTGTCCTGTGGTACTGGTCATCCCAAACATCTCCAGAAATTTGTACTGACACAACATCTCCCACCTCTAACTGCAACACTACACCATTGGAAATACTGTCCTCAGCATCTGCGGATGTGGTGAGACGGTCCCCTGTGAAAACCATGGCATGTCCGTTCTTGACAATTCTCATCCTTGTACCCCTATCAGTATCTGCTAGATGGCCAGTAAATCTGAAATAATACACTCCTCTAACTGGTGCAGTGAAGTAACCTAAAACACAGACAGAAAAGATTAGTCACAACTTGTAGAAGTGAAGTTATTCAAACAAATAGGCCAATTTCTCAAATATAAGAAGCCTGATCAGATTACCTGTGTTTGAGTTGTAGTGGTTTCCAGTGTTGGTAAATACATTTCTGTAGATGAGTGGAACAAACTCTTCGCTGCTTGTGTTACCTTCTCCAGACGCCAGGAGGGAGGCAGAAAAAGCCAGTTTTCTCACTGTGGTGAAGTTAAAGAACAACACACAATCAATTCTGAATTACTCTCTGAACTCCCTCTACGCCCATACTCTCTCACACACACACACACACACACACGCACAAAACACAAACACAAAGAGGCAGCGTTTCTTTACCTCTGTTGGTGTCTTGAACCTCCTGCACTATCGCCTTTTGTCCTGAAATGACGACACAGACAGTCGTAACCATATGCACACAATTCATTACACAAATCATCAACCTACAGCGGTCAGCCAGATGGGTGTATAATCTTTACCTTCCTGTTGTTTCTCCAGCTCCTCAATGTGGCGTTCACTGTCTGTCAGTCTTTGCTGCAGAGTGCTGAGCATCTGCTGAGCGACTGCAAGTTCAGTACTTTGAGCTAAAGTGACATAAATGCGCAAAAGGTTTACACGTCAGAGAGCCAGCACAAAAATACTGGTCAAAAGCACAGCACAGTTTTTACCGTCACTCTCCATCTGCAGCCCTTCTGCTAAGCTCTCAGCAGCACTCATCCTGACCTCCATGTCTGTAACAAGAGTGCTCATGTAAGCGCAGGCGAATCTGTTTTGTTGTAAAGTGAGTCCTTCGTTACACTGTACCTCTATTCTCCTTCTGCAAGGCTTCCACCAGGCTCTCAGCAGCTGTTACTCTGGCCAGAAGGTGCCTCAGCTCTACTTTTTGCTCCACCGACATGTCTCTCAGCTTCCTCAGCTCTGCCCAGATATCGTGAAATATCCGCTCCTCTTCACCTCCCTCAGTCTCAGCCGTATCCTCCCCGCTCTCAACATATGGAGCTTGAAGCAAGATATCTTTTTTTTGTGTCCTGCAGGGACAGCATGACATAAGTATCAGTGAGAAAACCAAGAGAGTCTTCATCTTCATTTTTACGTGACCAGTGCTCGGTTTCCTCTCCATCTGGGGAAAACAGTTGTGCACTGGATTGGCCATTTATGGATGGCATCAGGGTCAGATTTGTCAGGTGCACAGTGATTGGCAAAGGTTGTGAGAAAGCACACCTGTGGCAGGGGGTGGAGATAGAGGGAGCACAAGGCCACAAACAGATGGGGCAGTAACAGTGACTCATTAGTTTTAAACACAGGTGGTGGTAGCGTGATGGAGTCATGCCATCTTTGCACAGGCCTATCTCCAATTTATATTTAGACAAACTGATATTGTTTGTTTAATTATTATACAGAGTAAATCCTAAAGAAAAAAAAATGTGTTTTTTTAAACAGATGTGAATGCACTCATTCAAATTACAAAGAAACACTTTATTAAACATACGCAATCCAATACAATTCACAGCATCAGACCATTCAGTGATCCCTCGTACCCTATGGATGGAGTCATTTTGATCCTGTTTCTGATTCATTTTTCATCTTTTTTTCTTTAATTTGTCACCCGTCTGTAGCTGAATTAACACCTCTATGACAGTGTCAACAAAAACTCAACATTATAAACGATCTGTTGTGTTCACTGTAACTTATAAAGTGGCCAGGGAGTGTATTTCCTCAATTAAACTAAATTTCTACTCAGCCATGCAAATAAAGTTTTGATATTATTCATCAGTAAGATTTCTGCTGCCTCCACAATACAATGGAAGCAAATGTGGTTTTGTTTGTGGTGCCTGAAACATTAAAAGTTTATAACATCTGTCTCCAGAACAATTTTCTTGTTACTCCGGACCATCCCCAGACCAGACAGACCTAGACAGAACTACCAATATCTCAAAACCTGGCCAAATGAAACCAAAGTTATATGCATTTGTACATGCTACTGCAGGAGCAGGTCAGGATAGTGCTGTGTTGTAATTTGGGTGAACCAAGATCTGAATTTAGTCAACATTAGCCGTGACCTATTTTCCATGGCACACGCACACATAACATTTGATGTTACTGTCCACTCTGCGTCAGAGGGGAAAACAGATCTGACAGGACTCAGACCTCATTCTCTTTCATACCTTTGCAGTGACACTGTTTCAGCCTGATGAGAATTTCCACTGGTTCTCTGTGGCTTCCCCCCCGGTCAGCCAGAAAAATGGCTTCATGTCAGGTGAAGCAGTTTTCCAGTTGTTTGTTACCTGTAAGTTATTGGGCAGAGTTAGGGAAATTTCCCCACTGCAACAAGACCATTATGTGGGCGTGTTGCTTGTGAGTCATAAGCGTGTGCATCAGTGACAAGTTAGACAATTAGACAGAAATAACAACAAATCAACCTGTCGTTAAAAAAAATATTTCTTGAAGCGTATAAAGTGCAGTGAATGACATGATTTATGCTGATTGCTGCTTGTGTTCATGAATAAGAATATTGAGCAGCTGTCAGTCAGAATGAAACTGCGCACTGCCACATACAACAGGATTTACACCAAATAAACACACAGGCATCAATCTCTCTAACAAAACACTGCCAGGGCTCAGGCGGTGGGCAACTGAGTGAGAATGTTGTCTTTACCACCACAGCAGATGTGGTGTTCAGTCTCATATCTAATCGTTCAAGAGAATTGTCTTAATACTATTTTTCAGGATGCTGCACTTTGCTTTCTATAAATGAAAGACCTGTTATAAACAGACTTTGCTGTAGGGGTAAACACAAACAAATGTACATATCCCACAGAAGATTTAAAGAAAGGTTTTTTTTGGAAAGAGAACACAGGGTTTTCTACCTTGGTGCCGGAGGGGGCAGAGATAAAGAGAGTAATAGTTAGACTGCGGTCACATTGGTATGCAGACAGTCATGAAAGCAGTGCAGTACCTGTTGCATCTTGCAAATTCATTTGCTGAATATTGTGAAATATCACTGCTTAAATTGGGGAGGCCCTTTTTTTTCATCACAACTCAAGGCATTGGTGGTATGGTTAGATAAACACAAATGATTTGGATTGCAGATGGTCTACACTGATATACCCCGGTCTGTTGATGCATCATCATCTTCATTATCACTGTCATCATCAATTCAAGGAGCAAAATAGGTATTTAATTAAAATAAGTACGTAGATGTTGACTGATTGGTAAAATAGCAAATAGTGAAATTAGGTGAATATTAGTTTGAACAAAAGTGGAAAAACTGTATAGTGCTTACTTTCTTTTTCTATACTTATCAATACAATATTTTCAGATTTTAAAGCTGAATTAATCAATTAACCTACACAAATGTAAGTCTGGTCTCATATCTGCAATTTAAAAAGCACACACCTGGTTGTTAAAGAGTTCACCAAGTGTCTGCAGCCATGCTAGTGACTCTGTGAGACTGTTCATGGACACAGCGGTGCTTTTAGGTAGACTATAATTGTTAGACTCAGCATGCTAACATGCTAACAGTGACAATGCTAAGATGCTGACATTTAAGATGTCATGCGAATCCATCCAACAGTTCTTGAGACATTTCACTCAAAAGCAAACCTGTCAAGCTCATGGTGGCGCTACAGAAAAAATTCAGGGAATTGTCAAAGTACTTTTATTTTTTCTCTGGGCACCGTGAAAGTCTGTACCAAATTTCATGGAAATCCATCCAATAGTTGTGAATAAATGGTGGAACTAACGACTGGAAGAACAACACTGTTTATCTGTTTACTCAGCTCTTAAATGAGTACTGCTGAATACTCATGGGTCAGAACATCAACATGTCGACGGACATTGTGGCTGGTGTGATCCCATCGCAAAACAATAAGTTTTATTTGTCCAGCTTTTTGAGTAATCGTTTTCTGAGACTTCCACCTCCACATCAATGAAATGGCACAGAATTTAGTTTGTGGTGCTCATGTCATTGAAAGATTACATTAAAAAAGCCAGTCTTTTATTATAAATTATGTCGATTGTGGGGAATAGGGCTGGTGATGGCAGTGGTGGCGAGAGACTGTTGATAGTATGGCAGATGACGGCACAGAAACAAACACAGACACAGAGCAACGGGTTTGCAACACAGTTTGGCCGTAGCGTTTGTGACGGAGCGGTCTGGCGAAGAATGATGAGCTGAACCGCTCCTTTATACTGTAGCAGGTTGTGGAGTTGATTGCATGATGAGAAGCAGGTGAGTATGGAGACTGGAGTCAGCAGGAGGTACCAGCTGACACACACACACACACACAAACACACACACACACACACACACACACACAAATACCGTCACAGATGACAAATTGAGAACAAACAAACACATGAGAGAGGGGAAAACAGCAGAGCACAAGAGGTGGAAAAAAGGTCAAGGTCCTAATCCTAACATGGTCTGACCCATGAATACCCAGAGAACGAGTACAGTATTCATCAGTCGGACCACTCAACTACACACTTGTAGATTTTTGCGACTATTGTCTACGTTTGTGACGCCATTGCATTGACAAAATGTCCACAGACAGATAAATTACCATAGACTGTAAATAAAGATGGACGTAGCCTCCGTGACGTCACCCACAGGTTTCTGAAGAGCGGTTTTGAAGCTCAGAGTGAGCTGCTCCACCGTCGCCATCTTGCAAGTACCTGACTCCGCCGAATACAAAAAGTTGGAAAGAGGAGGGGCTTGTATGGAGCTGAGACTTCGGTGCGTGCCAGCTTGTGGCAGGCGTACGGTCACCCGCATGCCTTCAATTATGCAGATCTTTAAGCCTTAATAAAATTTAAAGTATTTAAGTAGGTGAGTATATAAAAATTAATCAAAACTATTTTCTGTACCAGGCTGTAAACATGTTTATTTCTAAAGTTGAACATTTTAACATGGGAGTCTATTGGGATTGACTCGCTTTTGGAGCCAACCTCAAGCGGCCAGTCAAAGAAGTGCAGTTTTTGGTACTTCCATGTTGGCTTCAATTTTCAGCCTCAGAGGTTACCGCTTGATAAACACCTGCCAGCTGCCTAGGTGTTAGTTCCCATGACAGTAGGTGTCTACACGACCACATCTGGCCATCATCACACACAGAAGGTGAATAGCAGCCATGCTGTCCTGGCTACATACCATGAGCGGTAAGTGAGAAAATATGTTTCCGTAATTTGGATGAACTGACCCTTTAATGACATGTTCCATACTATACAGTCCTACAAATGTAACCCTAATTACGAGCGAGTCAATACAGTAAATCCAGAAAGTAGAAAACATGGTTTGTGGTGTCAAAAGTCACACATGCCAAAGATGTTTAGCATTACATTCTGTCAAAAATGTCAGTTAACAAGGCGATCATCTGTGGCTCCTCTCCCATTGGCCAGAGAAGCTGTTGCCAAGGTGTCGACCTGTGATTAAGACTCCTGTAAATCTTCCCACCCAGCGAGCCTTGGAGAGGAGTTTCCCCTCAGGTCGATCTACTCCTGCAGGGATGAGCCTCGTTTTCTTCTCGATCTGCCCTGAGGGTTAAATCTCATACTCTAACCTGCATCTCTTCCTTCTCACAGGTCGGACTCAAGGTAAAATGTCTTTTCTTTTTTTTTTTAGAGCTTGGTTCAATATTAATGTGCATGCAGTATGATCAAGTCCATTCACAGAGGTGGAATATTAGGGATATGGTGCAATATCTGCTCAAGTGCGATGGGATGACACCTAGGTTGAGCTATCAGGCGCCTCAAAGTGACAGGCAACCTCACATACCTTCCTTCATTCTCCTCTCAGGCAAATTCCTCTCTCTGTCTTCTTTTCAGTGTTTCCCAACTCTTCTTCTCTCTTTTTGCTTGTTTTCCTTTTACATGTGCGTTAAGACAAACATAATATCTCGCTCTGCACTTCTCTATCCTGAGTTGTTTGGTTTTATTTCAACCTGTTGAGGTTTAAGCTTACTGAAATGTTCTTTGTGCTCTCCATGTGTCTTTTCATGCTCAATCCCTCGCCAAAATAATTGTGATCCACCCATGGAAATCATATTTGCTGCAGGGTTGTTTTACCTTTTAATAAACTCTCTTGAAGCGCTTTGGTTTTTCACAGACTGAGCTCTGATAGGCATCTCTATTGTCTCCCAATGTAATTAAGGTGTTCTATAAGTGGTAAATCATCATATCCTATTGTCAATATAATTGCTTATTACACAGTTATGTTGACACATAACATAATCTACAATAATAACACTTCCTGTGATGTAGCTAATCACTCCACAAACTGACCAATCACACTGCAGTGCTTCAAGACTCACATCTGACCCAGCCAATCATACTGAGCAGTGGGAGGCCGGAGGTTGAGCCTGTCCACTCTGCACACGGCTAGCTACTGTGTGGAGTGGACTTGACTGCAGGTAGTTAGCTTGAGCCTAATCTAATGATGCATACTTCCCCCTGTTTATGGCAGCCAGGGAAGAGGGAGCGCTAGCCTGTGCTTGTCTGCTGCTGAGAATGCCCATTAACGCTCTATTCCCCCTCAGGTGATGACCACCTGAGCTATCAAAGGCAAGCGTGTCTGTAACACCACCCTCTCCCTCCTCCCCCTCGTATCACACTCCATCCCCACCCCACCTTCGCACCGACCTCCACCCAGACTCGCTTTTTCCCTCCAAAAGTAGCCTCTTAAGAGTGATTAGACTTTGTAGAAAATCATCATCAACATCATCATCATCATCATCATAAACACCTACATAAATGCTACTCAATACAATCCATGCACTTTATTTTTTAGCAACAAAGCTAATTACTATTAAAGTGTTAATTATTTTTCATTATATTATTGAATTTAAGTCAAGGGGCCTTTATCTTTATTTTCTCCAGGACAGGATTTTTGTCAGTTTGAGATTTCTGTCACCCTCCTAATACTGTGGCAGAGAAAGGGATTAATTATGGAGATTAAAACAAAACAAATATATATTTTAAAAATTCGACAACCAACTCACTTTCCAGAAACAATATGTGAGGATAATATAAAGACCTAAATGTTTATACCTTTCACTGGAACTTCTTTCTTTCTTGATCCTTCCTCTGTTGCTCTTCTTGAGGTCTCTTAAATTTTTTTCTGACATAAAAGGAATTTATCCTGATTCTGAAAAAACTGGGCGTATAAGGATAAAGGGATTAAGGACAAAGGCTTTTTTTTTTTTTTTTTTTACAGATTGTAAAGCACCTTGAGGCCAATTTGTGATACTGGGCTTTATAAATAATTTTTGGGGCATTTTATGTCTTTGTTAAACAGCATAAAGACAAAATAAGACAGGAAACTGATAATGGGGTCAGAGGTCCACAGCTGTGATGTTGCAGTTCATGGTTGGATCCCTGGTGAGCAGCATTTTACACAACATTGATCCAGTTTGGGTCAAAGCTTGACTTCACCTAGTACCAGTGGGTAGTTGTGACCAAGTCAAGTTTTACGATAAAACTCTCACTAACAGTCAGTAACAAATACTAACAGGAAGGTTTATAACTGGCTAAATTGTAACAGTTTGCAAAGTTTGGGGAAATAGCCTAATTGTAATATTAATTGAAATAATGCTAACTATTGGACAAAACAACCCAGGCGGATCTCTGCTGGTGCAACGTGATTTGAGTGCTTTGCTCAAGGGCATGTCATCATTTACTACTGACTGAAGGTAGAGCATTCCCCATTCATTTTCCTAACCCAGATTTTCCCAGACCATCCCTCAGATCCCCTGCAGCCATAGATGAATGATGAATGAATTTAATGCCTAAAATTCTGCAGCATTAGCAATAATGATAATAATAATACTCAACTTTATTTACAAAGTGAGTTACAAAGTCAAAGTACGGAGATTGAAATTGAATAAAAAAAATAAACATACAATAAAACTGCAATAAACTGATCAAACATATTAGAACAGTGACATTAATAAAATGCTTTTAAAAACATTGATATCACTGATTCTTAAAGAGTTTATGTAATTTACTTATGGCTATCAGTGGATATTTTTAAAACAAGTCACCAATCACATTTGGGACAACACTGAGACCATACAGCAGGCCTGATGATCTTTAGTACAGTGACTTTGCAGCACTGTATGTGTCTCTTCTATAACTACAGTCCCTCTTCCTTAGTCCAGGACATTTCAAAACTTCCTGTCAGCGTCCCTAAACCCATAATAGATGTGTGTATCTTCCCCTGTCTGGGATGCGTGATTCACTGTCCCTGAAACACAGCACCACCTAATCTTGAAGAGCAGATAAAGCTAATTAGGGGAAAGAGACATCAATCACAGCTCTAGGGCTCGTTATATATCGTACATACCAAGAGTGGCATCTCAGTCACTGGGTGTGTTCGAAAGCTCGAGTCAGTCACACACACATAGCTATTATTGTGAGTTATGTCAGAAGGAACGCCTCAGATGAGAGCTGTATTGATTGTTTCCTTGATGTTTCTGGGACTAACCAACTATTATCAATGTCACCAAGCGAGGAGTAAGGGACTAAAATTAGTGCAGAAATCATAGAAATCAGTCTCTTTTGTTGAAATGACCTTTGACAGTATAACTCATCCGAGAGAACAGAAAACTGGCGAGCAGCTCTGTTTGGATGTGCAACATGCATTAATACAGCTGTCACAGAGACACTCACACCCTTTCCGATGATTACAGCAGGTCCAGGAGGTTCGCTGAACTCTGAGCAGGGGCAGCGGGTCACATTATAGCTTAAAATGGAGATGATAAAAAAGGAGAATCATCTCATTTGTTTGTCAAATTTGTATACTTTAAATCGGTTTAAATTTCTTCACTATGAATGAGAAATTTGTGCACTTTCCCCTTATGAGATTTAAAGAGTGCTGTGTTGTATAAGACATTTCTGCTGCCCTGGAGGAAAGCCAACATTTTAGAGTGCAGGGTTGCATTCACCCTGTAGGTGGGAGTGTAACTCTTTCTATGTTGCAAACTGCAGTAAATGTTCAACTGTGCAGTCTAAAAGACTTTACACATAAATATAAGAAGACTACAAGAATTTTATTTCGTATCAAACACTACATGATCATTGCTTTTATTATCCATCATAAAATGTGCGAGCATCAAACCGCTGCGTGCTGATGGATGATGCTCATGGTGAGTTCACGAGCAAGGTGTGAAGAGGTATGTAAATAGGCACGGATATTTACCGTGTGACGTGTCCCGACAAGAATGGATTATTGGATTATATACTTTACCAACTTCATTGAGGAATAATGTTCACCATAAGTGAGCAAGTGAGCAAGAACTGGTGCATGACAGGTTTGACAAGTGGAAATTGCTTAGGAATGATTAGAAAACAAAAGCACACACCTCACACTCCTCCTCCACAAACAATATTCCTCTTAATAAATACAATTAGCCAATACTCAAAAACAAAGTGGTGTTTTTATATTTATATATATAAATTTGACTAAAATACTTAGAAGCTTATGAATCTAGCATAAAAAATATGATACATCCATTTATAATGTGTCTGATTACAGGGATATAAAAATACACCACATAGAGTAACATTAAATTAGGTTTTAAAATATCTCAAAGACACAACAAAGACAGCAGTACAGGGCAGGAGAGAAGAGACAAACACGTTCAGGCACTTTGATGGAAACTCTTACGAAACAATTTCCTTTGCTTTCACAATAGTCATCAAACTACACATCATCTGATAACAGGAGAAAACTAAGATAAATATTTTTTTTTAAAAACCCCGGCAGAAACTCTTCAATCTTTTCGTATCTCCATATGTATTATTTTATATGCTAATGTAAATGGATTCTTGAAAATAAGGAATGGGTTTTCACATCCAAGGAAATTAATGACATGATTTGCAATTAAAGTATGAAATGACAAGAAATTACAAGGTATCAGAATCGGACACATAGCAGACAGTTTCATTCTACTACTCTTGCAGCAAAGTTTTAATAGTCAGCCGGACATAAGAAAGATTAACTACTCAAACCAATCACGACAGACAGTGGTATATCTTATGACATAGTGATATGAAAAGTCCTCATGAGCTGTGTTAAGGTCCATGGCGGCCACAGATCAGCTCCAGCTGTTAGAGTGAGTTGACTGTGATGAAGACGTAGATCTTGGCCTGGAAAGTAGTAAACGTCCCCTGTCTCCAGAGCTTCATCTCCACATTAATTAGGAAATCTCTTGGACCCTCAACCTGCCGGTGCAAGTACACAGCACCCGTGTAGGCGTTCAGCTTCCTGGTGCTGAAGTAGTTTTCCTCATTTCCCTGTGTGATGCTGACGATGACGTTGTCCCCGGAGTAGGCGGGGGAGGGCCCGATGCGGAAGATCTGAGCGGGGATGACGATGTTGGACTGGAAGCTGAGGTAGTAGTAGGTGATTCTCAGAGGAGAGTTTTGACACTCCAGGTAGTTGGGACAGCTGATCCGCTCACAGCGTCTAAAAGGGACACAGGGAAGGTCAGAAATCAGATCTTCCTTTTTGTCAAATCAATGAGGTATCACTGGTGTGGGTGTTCGACCGATGTCCGGCTTACGTGTCGGACACTTTGCGGTAGTTGGGGGGACAGCTGAGGGAAAGGCAGCGGTACCCTCCTTGGATGTTATAGCACGTCTCAGCTAGGGAGCAGTTATGGGCCCCTGTGGCACACTCGTCGATATCTAAAACAAACAGTTATACACAAGCGCTGGTTTATTGCCTGGGGAGGAGGAGATGTGTGTGTTAGACACAGGACAGTTGAACTTTGAGGAAAAGCCTCATTGCTGAAACATGTAGGACAAAAAATCGTCCTTGTGGGGAACAGAACTGCTCTAGTAAAAAAAATTCAAATTAGTGAGACAAGATTTTTAGGCCAATAAAGTTTTATAGACTGTGTAATTACTGAGCCACTGTAAAAGTACCAATTATAATTATCTGAGCATAACCACTACTATGCACTCTATGTGGAGTGAAATGTGTGCAGAGCCATTTTAAAAATCTATTTCAGAGCAGAACTCATTGAGGCACATTCCCAATAAAGTAACTGAGTGTGCATGCGTGATTTTCTTGTTTGGTTTCTTTGAAGGGAGGGGTTCACCTTTGCAAGAGCGTCCGTTTGGAGACATGGTGTAGCCATATTCAGGACAAGCACACTGGTAACTGCCAGGAACGTTCACACACTTATAGGTGCAGAGGTGGCCGATGCTCTGGGAACACTCGTCGATGTCTGGGTGACAGGGAGGACGTAAAACATGAGAAACCGATTCATAAACTTGTCCAAACATAAGTGCGGTATAAACGTGGTGCTTCTGATGTGTAAAAGAGCGCACCGCACCTTCACAGGTGTGCCCATCCTCCCTGAGGTAGTAGCCCTGTCTGCAGTAGCACTGGTAGGAACCATAGATGTTGGCACACTCCTGACTGCATGGGCTGGCCAAACACTCATTCACATCTGGAGATTAGAGGTTAGAGCTCATTACTGTCACAATTCACTTGATCAAAGGATCTCCAGTGGTTTTAACCGAACATATAAACAAGATGTTGTTATTAAGCCAATTATGTTTTTACTGGTTCGTGCTTGAAGGCATGGCATGATATACAGTATAATACAGTAATACCTCTAACAACCATCCATCCTCAGCAATATGCTTTACAGTGGCCAGCTTTAATATCAGTTGAGGAACCTGCACTGTTCATGCACACACGCAACCCTGGTTCACCAACAAACACACACACACACACACAGGCATATTTTCACACACAAATTCACAAAAACATACAACGACATGCGTCAACACGCTCACATAGATGTACACACACCCACACAGGCAGACATTAACACACACACACACCTTCACAGTTCTTGCCATCGCCGGATAAGCGGAAGCCAGAGGTACATGAGCATTCATAGGAGCCTGGGGTGTTCTCACAGGTCTGAGCACACAGACGACTTGGGTAGCGCCAACACTCGTTCACATCTGAGAGGAAGAAGCAGAGTCATCATACCTCTGAAAGTGTGTATTGCATTTGTGTGTTTGCAGCCATGTGTGCAAGTGCACGTGTAGCCAAGGATGTGCAGGTTTGCACACGACTGTGTACGTGTGCATGCCTGTGCATGTTCGTGCGCATGTCGACGAAGAGTGTAGTGTGAGGGGACCAGCTGCCTGCTGTTAGTCTAAACACTTGGGCAGAGTCCATTATTATGAGAGTCACAACACAGTGAATCACAAACAGAGGGAGCAGTAGCAGGGGCAGAACAGAGTTCTCTGCAGCAGCAGACGTGATCAGTAGACCAGTGGCAGCAGCAGAGGCTGAGAAACAGCAGCAGATCTCCCACCACAGAATAATAAAGAGGAGCAGCAGAGGAGGCAGACAAAGAAGAGGGTTAGCTTTACAGTAAGAGTGAGAAATGAGATGAAGGGCGAGAGGAAGGGAAGGGGAGCACAGTATGAGCGAGGAAGAGGAAGAACATATAAAGCTCCTTTTTTTCCTTCTTTTAAAACTTAGCACGTGTACTTCTGATGATGATGATGATGATGATGTGTGCGTGATAGCCAACATACCTACACACATCCTCCTGAATGAGTCATACTGATAGCCTGTCTGACATTCACAGCGATAGGAACCAGGCAGATTGTGGCACAGCTGGCCCGCTCCACATCGATGCAGACTGCTCTGACACTCATCCACATCTACAAGACACACGAGAATGGTAAAGAGACGGAAAAATCAATAAAGTGAAAATGATGAGATTCAGGAAACTCAAGCAGCATCAATCATGGATGTAATTTTTGTTATCAGTTCTGAGCTTATAAATCTCCTGTATATTAATATATTATTTAATCATTAAGAAATACAAAAGAAAAGTAATATTATTCTTTGATTATTTAATTTTTTTATTTAAGTGCATGAGCAAAAATCAACTCACACGTCTCTTGCCTGCATCAGATTTGCTGCTGACAATCTCCTACAGTCTGTGTATCAAATCTGATCCCACGCTCCTCATGTGTACCAACTGCAAAACTTACCGATACATCGGGATCCATCAGGGCTGGCGTGATAGCCACGGCTACATATTATCTTCCTCTGGCACATGTAGGATCCTGCTGTGTTGATGCAGTTAAATCCTGGGTTACATGGCTGGGCCAAAGCACCACACTCATCAATGTCTGGTTCAGAGAGAAGGAGAGGTGGTGAGATAAAGGTGAGGAAAGATAGAAGAAGAGGGAAGACCCAAAGGCTCAAAGGCAGGGCACGAGAGACCAGAGGGCAGCTCTTTTGCCACACATATCAAAGCAAACACACATCACACAGATGCATTCCCCTGGATAACTTTGTTGTGTGTGTGTGTGTGTATGTGTGTGTGTGTGTGTGTGTGTGTGTGTGTGTGTGTGTGTGTGTGTGTGTGTGTTTGTGTATCTGACATTTTCCCCATTTTCTCATTTCTCAGAGCATTTCTTTTACACTCCTTTTACAGTGGCGTCGGCTGCCTCGACATGCCCCAGTTCCTGCCCCTGGGGGCTAATTCCACAGCATCAGTTTGTACTGGAGGAGGACGGAGGATTGGCTTTTATCCACCCCTCTGCAGCCCCTAACAGCAACCTCTCTGATCTCCTGTCTGTGTGGCATTTAACCCCTCTGTCACTGCAGCCCTGCTGATTCACCTGCACGCTGTATGACCATGATGTCTACACAGTCTCTGATTCACCTGTGGGGAAATTTTGTTGTTTGTGTGTCTGTCCTGGTTCACTCATCTGTGTTTGGGAACAAGATAGGGAATCTCTAAAACAAGAATCATATTGACTGTAATGCAAAACACATCTGTTTTTATGCTTTTATGCTTTGGCATGGCCTCACTACCACTGTAGGGTTTAAGACTGTTTATACTTGGTCCAATCCTTTTAGACTGTTGTTTATATATTTATATTTTTATTACCAGTTCCACATATAGATTCTTTTAGGTTTATAGCCTTTGAATATTTTTCATTTTGTGATTAACAATATTTGTCTTTCTTTCCTATCTGTTGTGTGTGTAGTTGTTGTACACACACACACACACACACACATCTAGGTGGCAGCGATGAATAGTTGTATTGAAATTAATTTAACTGAATAATACAACCTTGCTTGCTTGTTCTATAATATTTAACTTTTACAAAATGACACACACTAACACTGTGACTTTTTTTTTTAATTCCAAACTATCACCTAATGATTTAATTATTTCCTCTATCAGCACAATTTCAGTGAGAAAACAAGATGTAATCACTGAGTGAAGACATCAATACATCTGGCTCTTGCCCAAGACTGTTAAACATTGCAAACAGTGCTGCAAGGGACAATAATTATATAATCATCTCATTAAGAAAGTGATTTCCCTTACCTACACAGTTGCCCTGTGCATCCTGGTTAAAGCCCACCGGACAGTGAGCTTTGGGGTTGCACCTGAATGAGCCCGCGGTATTCACACACTCAAAGTCAAGCCCACAGTTATGGCGCCCCTCCACACATTCATTGATATCTGAGGGAGAAGATAAATAAATGAGCTGATACGGACCGAAGAAGCAATTAAGTGCAAATAAAGCACAAATCAAACATAATTATTTTCAGTCTAAGAATCTACGACATGTTAACTCAGTGCGTGCTGCAAGACGCAGGCGTGTAATGCCAGGTTTCACCACTGGGTGGCACTGTGGTTCAACGGCAGATTGTACAGGTGCTCACTTTTCCTTGCTGTTCATCTGTGGTGAAGCTCTCCCTCTCAGTACTCTAGAGGTTAATCAAGCGTGAAAGAATTGTATTACAACGTAGGAATCTTATCTATGCTAATCACGCCCGTTACAAAAGAATGGCCTGAATGACAGTCTATTATTTCAGTCAGATTAATGAGTCAAACCAGCAGAAGTCACATGCAGCAGTCTTCCTGTGCAGTGTGCAAGCGAACATTCCAGTATATTCCCCCCCAGAGTCCTTGAACACCTGTCTGCTAAGGGATTTACCTCCCGTCAATCAGCCTTCCACATCTGTTGCCATAGTATGAACCGAAGCTGGAGGGTGGTGCATATGTGTGTGTGTGTGTGTGTGTGTGTGCATAATGCATCAGTATCTTCTGTTTTCAAGCAGGTCTGCAGGATTTCACCACTATAATTATTGTATGGAGGTCTAAACCAGCCCTGGCAGGGAGCCCTGCGGATATGGGGTAGGTCTCTAAACAGCAGATAGTGATTGAGCATCTTGCTCCTGACACAAGCCTGGCAGAGTCCACAAGAGCTGAGTGAGCCTGACACTGAGGGAGACAGAGAGAGAAAAGCCAGGACACAGGATAAATGTGCGAGAGAATAACAGTGACCTCCCAGTGAAGGCAATGAGCTCAAGGAACCTAGAGAGGTCACAGAGTTAACTTACTGTGTGGGAGAATTTAACCCCTTGAATCCTTGGCTGTTTTTTACCCTTTATTTACAGTCATATGGCTTTGAATCTTTGTCCAAAGTTCTCTCACTGATTATAAAAATCATAAAAAAGCTAATTGATATTGATTCTGTCAGTCATGTATTTTTTAGTGGTTTTTTTTTTTTTTTTTTTAGTTGTTGTTTGTTTTTGATTCACATTGTGCTTTGGATGATGTAAACAGGAAGTGTAATGCTGCCATGAGTCACTGAGTAAGCTGTAGGCTTTACCTGAGCCAACTGGCAAATTTGCACGAAAATCATGCTGCATTTACCACTAGCAGTTCTTGTTGGTACTGTGACTTTGCATGTGCAGACAAATAATTGGATTGTATTTAAATAACCTTCTACTACTGGAAAGAGTAGGTTGCACTGATTTTGGTAGTATGACTTCTGTGCATCCTGGTTTGACTGAACTATGACACAAGAAGTGATCAGATTTTTAAAGCTTCTCTAACACACTCAGTTACAGTGAGTACTGATGCACTGATGCAATTGTCTTAATTGAGTCATTCTGTTTAGACAGGGGAGAGGAACACAATTCAGTTTTCCCCTGTGCAGTGACTTTGTTTCATTTGTGAGAGGAGGCAAAAGGAGAGTTTCATTACAGTCTCTTAGTAAGCCATGAATAGAAAATAGGTAGCACGGCACAAAGATGTTTTTTCTCTCACCACTTATGCCGACAGCCTGAAGTGGCAGCTGTTTGGGAGGCCTACCGCTAAACATACTTTCTTGTTAAATGCTCGTTTTGCCTGATTGAACATTCTTTAAGTTCACAAGGAGCTGCAGATTAGCCGAGCCTCCTTGGCCGAGCCCGCAGAAAACCCATCTGCGGCGGCAAACAGCACATTACAGCACATCCAAAACTCATCTTAGGGGGGTGCTTCTTCCTGAACGCCACTGCTGCTGTACGAACAAGACCTCTGCACAGGAACAGCTTATGGTGCATGGAAATAATGAGACATATTGGGAGGTTTACTATTGCATCTGAAAGTCGGGCACCACCCCCTAAGACAAGCCAGGCAGCTCTTCATACTGGGACTAAATGGAAATAGCTCTCTGGAGTCATATTTCCAATTATTCCCTCCTGTCCGTGTACTCACATGTGAAATTACATAATCACTGGATGTAAAAAATGTAAAAAGGTGGTAAAAGTGATTGTTTGCCTGAACAATGTGTCTTTCCTTACATTGTGAACATGCAGTAATACAAATGCTCTCCTGCTGGTATTTACAACATATTCACTGTGGGTGGAAGTGAACATTTTGATGCTGCTTAATGCTGATAAGCTGTGGTGTACCTTCACAAATGTCGTTGTTGATCTGGTACCCCGGGGGACAGGTGATCGGTCTCTGACAGATGTAACTCCCTGCAGTATTCACACAGCGCTCATTCAACTGGCAGGCGTGCGCGGACAAACACTCATTTACGTCTGGATGTTTAAAAAAAAAAGAAAAAGAAAAAAGACAAGAAGTATAAGAAAAGACAAATGTGTCACTGAGAAGAAAGAGAGTTAAATGTGCAGAAGAAGACGCTGGATGAGGAGGTTTAGAAAAAGCAGACAAGGAGAGGTACAAAAGATGCTGTCAGCTGATCCATGGAGTGTGTATAACAGTCAGCAGTGGGAAGCAGATTAAGGAGACTGGTCAGACCCTCCTTTGGGAGAGAGATTAGGGGCAAGGCCGCCGGGTACAACATTCACACTGTGAGAAATTTGTCACCACGCTGAGCTGCTCTCTGTGTCACTGCCACCGTTTGCTACTGTCAAGCAGGAGACAGACCAGCGGTTATGGCTTAACTTTAAGATATAGTATATCCCTAGGCAGACAGCTTAGACACATAGAGCAGTAGTTGATCAGCCTCATGATAAAACACACAGCCCACAGCCATTCTGAGTGCGCATGAAAATAAAGGGTATATATATGGTATGCAGTCAGGGAGATATATATCGTGATAGGGCATGGGTAGTTTGGATAATCCCTCTGGTAGAAAGTCTGTTTAGGAGCAAGATGAAACAAACGTCTCCCATTTATGTTTTTTTTTTTTTTTTTTTTTTTTTGTCTGTGTCACAGTGTGATGCTGAGAGTGAAGGGGATTAGGGCTGTATCTCCCCTGCAAATCTAGAGGCGCTGATGAGACAGAGAGACAAATCAGTAACAGACATTCTTGCCAAGAAACTCTCCTCAACTGGAACCAAACTCCTGTGGCTGAAAAAGAACTGAAACCAGGGCTGAAATGGCAAGCCACACTACTCGCATCGTATGATTGCACAAAATTTCCACATTGTCTGTGTAAGAAATCTTTTTCTGCATTATAACTAGGTTTTAGTTTCCTTACCTTCACAGGAGTGTCCATCAGCCCTGAGGGAGAACCCTGAGAAGCAGGAGCACTGCGGCCTTCCGCCCACTGGGGTGCACTGTTGCTCACAGGGGCTGTTTTCTGAAAATAATAGTGTATAATGAGGTCAAATGAAATATACTGTACTACTACTCCACACAACAGTGTGTCGGGTGAAACAGAGGAGAGCTTTGTGGTTCTGCGTGGGAGACTGAACACTATTTGCTGTAATGCCGTTTGCTCATTTCCTTTTTCCAGGTTGATCCCTGACCTGGTCATATTGTATTTCCTACTTTTGGCCCACAGTGTGGTGGACCTCCACCCTGGTGTCATGGAAACCAAACAAGAGAAACAAAATGTGACCGTGCACACATTATGATATGAGGAGCTCTAGAGAATGAGTGGCTGATGCAGAAAACAATCTAACCTTTGATTCCATCTCACTGCTTGTGTTTGACATTTGCAGCACAATTACATTTCATGGAAAGGGTGAGATTGAAATAATAACATGTCAATCTACAGCAGCCTGTTCTGGCTTCTCCTCTAAACATATTTGACTGCATCAAGATGCATGCTGCCGTCTGATTAAGTTGTGAGGGTGAATGAAAGTGCTCATTGGGAGCTGTCAGCCCTGCAGCTCTCTCTCTCTCTCTCTCTCTCTCTCTCTCTCCCCTCATTAAGATGTATGTTTCAAACCTTCACAGGGGTTGACTGGGGCAGTGGGCTGGGAGGGGGGCGGAAGGGGCGCGGTGGGATCCACCGCCGCTCTGTCATCTTCCTTCAGTCTGTTCTCCTCGTCCACCGTCTCTGCAGAAACATGAATAATCTCATCACAGGAGCGACGAATTACAGTGCTATCAAGAATTCCACCTCTCCACCTACTGCGGTCTTAGTTAGAGACTTAAACCTTGTGCAATTCCTGCATCTTCATCCAATGATAGAAGGTCTCGTAGCTACAGATGAAACTCGGTAATAGCAGTGAAGGTGAGACAGGAAAAAGCACAGCCTGCAGACACACATTTGGTTTTATTAGTGAGCCCCATCCCATCACTGTAATTTGCTGAGTGCTCTGACATTAGTATCCTGTTGAGACAGGCTGGTGTTGGTGAAAGCCACTGTTGATTAAAGTCTGGTACACTGCAGAAAAGTCACACAGCATTACCTGACAACACATCTGAGCAAACCTTCAGGGTTCAGTTTGTACAAAGAACGATTTTCAGTGATTTCTTCTCCAGATGAAACGCTTTTTGACAACAACAGAATTGGTGATTAGTTGAGCATTGCTGCCAGTCCAGGAAAGGGATGTTAGTTTCTGATTAGAATAACTATTATTAGGCAGCATCAGGCCTTGCAGACAGGAAGGAACTAAAAGAGACCAGGAAAATCATACACTGTAAATGTGTAGACAAATTACGACAAATGGGGTCGTCCTGACAGGAATGCAGACTGTAAATCACATTTCAAAGAGCAAATGGCACAGAGAGTCGCTTTCCTGTCTACTGGCATCTCTGGAAATATCTAGCTGGCTCCGTGTGACAAAATAAGATTGGTGTTCTCTACTTTACCTTGCGCACAAGAGAAAGCGTCCTCTTGCAGCACGTATCCAGTGAAGCACTCGCACCGGTAAGAGCCTGGCGTGTTGACACATCTGTGGTGGCAGATCTTGCCCTCGTATATCAGACACTCATCCATGTCCTCCACCTCCATGGGACCCTCCACTGCGTTCTCCCCATCCCTCTCTTCACCAATGGAGAAGGCCTCTTTAGGGTACGGGCTGTCAGATACTACAGCACATGGAGAGAGTGGCTGATGTTCTCACAGGCAATGAAACTGTATAATGATGTGAATAACTGCATAAAAAGCTTAAAATAGTTTTATCAATGTCCCTGAAGGGAAACACATTTTACATGTAATAATTACAAGGAGGACACAATGGCCACAACGATAAGGAGGGTTTCTTTTCTCGTTTGTTTTTATTGTAATGTTTATTTTTACAGAGATAAGTACACAGCATCAACCGCTGCCACATACCACATCATTCATATCCTAAACAAGTGCGCAACTCCCTTCCCTCGACGGCCTCTTGCAAAAATACACAGTATTGTGCAGCATGACAAGATGCACAAAATGCATCAATACAAGTAACAATAAAAGTAAATGTTATGATTGATGCCTTTCTTTTTGCTTTGTATTTGTGTTACCGAAAGATGTCCTTCTGTGTTTCCGATGTTTCATTTGCAGCAGTGTTTAATGAGAAGGGAAGCGTTTGACTGAGCAGCCATAAAAGTAGAAAAAATCCTAATGCAAGGCACCAGATCACCCATGACTACATGGCTGATCAGTTTTTCACCTTATAGCAGCCAGACCGAATCAGAACAAGAGTACTTCTAACTACAGAGTGGCTTACCAAAACAGATGTAAATCCAACTCCAGACAGGCGGGCAGGGATTAGATTTCTTAGAATTGCAGTACAGAGGTGAACTGGGCAATTATACATTTTTCTGTGAGACCCATGAGGTGTGCTATTTTTCAGGGATCTTGCTACAATGCTTCCTTTTAACTAGCTAGTATAAAGAAAATTGATCGCCTTTGGTTTAAATCAGTCCTTTTCCCTGGCAGTGCACCAGTGTGTATTACATTCGCTCACCAAACAACATCCCCTCCCTTGGCATGAAACATGCGTTTGAAGATTGTGTATTTGAGTGTGAGAGTATATGTTGACAATACCTTTTTTTGGTGGTGGACTGGAGTCAAGGGCGGGCCTCTCTCTGACAGAGTGCCAGCCGTCTTGGCTCCCAGCCAACCCCTCCTCCCCCTTGCAGCAGTTTAGAAAGACGTGTCTGCAGTGGTAGCCCAGGTAGTGGTGGGCTTCGCAGTGATGCCCCTCACTGCGGAACTGCAGCCCCATTGAGCAGCAGCCACAGCACTCCTGCAGGTCACACAGTCAGTCTCAACACGTGTAATCATGGATCATATACATCTATACAGTAGATGCTATACTTTAATACATTTCACTTTCAAAAACAATACCCACAGTTTTACTGTATGCAAGTTTTTTTTGTCTGTTTTTCTCTGCTGTACTTGCGACATGGCTCTGGATGGCAAACTTGTCGGTCGGTTCCTCACTTTGGTCCAGACTGAAATATCTCAGCATGGATTGCTATGAAATTTTCGTCTGGAGAGGATGAAACTTGCTGACTTAAGTGATCCCCTTGTTTTCCTCTAGTGCCACCATGAGGTTGACATTGCCTTTTAGTAAAAGACTCACTGTTGGTTGGATTTCTGTGAAACTGAGTTGAACCCACGCAGTGAAATAACATCTACTAGACAGACTGGCAAAAACTTTGCAGAGACATATGGTTCCCAGATGATGAATCCTAACGACTTGGATGATTCGCTCAATTTTCCTCTGGCACCACCATGAGATTGACTTTTGAGGTTTTGAGTGAAATCTCAGCTATTATTGGATGAATTTCCATGAAATTCATGCTCCATTCATGTTTCCCTCAGGAGTAATGTAAAAAATTTAAGTGATCTCATGATTTTTCATCCAATGCCATCGTTAGGTCAAAATTTTTATTTGTCCAATAATCTGGTATCATTCTGAGCTATTTGTTGCATTTACTGCTTATTAGCAAATGTTGGCACGCTAACACGCTAAACTAATATGGAGAATATGGCAAACGTTACTCGCTAAACATCCACATGTCATTGTGAGCATGTTAGCAAACCTAGCTGAAAGCATTGCTGTGTCTAAACAGCCTCACAGAGCCACTAGCATGGCAGCGTGGTGGCAGCTTTGATAGTTACAAATCTTAATGTAGGGCAACTGTCCCCTTGCTCACAGACTCTCACTCTGTTTCCCTGTAACTCTCAGCGAGATCACCCCTGAGAGTGCACAGGGCATGGAGAAACATAAAACTGAAGTAATGGCCGCTGTGATGTAGCGGGGCTGTAGATGGCATAATGTTACTAAATCTACAGGGATTCTACAGAAAGGTGGTGAAAGCCGATATTTAAGAGCTGTACTGCAGCACAGAGTCAATAATGGCCCCCGTGCTGCTCAAGGGCCTCTGAGTAGGTGAGTAAGTATCCTTCAACACACAGGTCAGATGGCAAATGAGTGGATTTGGGAATCAAGACGAACATAATAAGAGTTACACAGTCACCATGACTTGACTTTCACTGACTGCAATAAAAATCTCCCGTCTGCCACTGCTACTGTTTTACAGCATCAATTATCAGTCTGCGTTTCCACAATTTCAGAGCGGCCAAACAACTGACCTCTGACAACTCCAATTGCCGAGGTCTGCTTTGAAGACAGTGAGGATTTAGAACTGAGGGAATCTTTATTTGTAATTGGGCTTAAATCATTTTGTCTAAAATTAAATAATGTAATTAAGTAACAGGGACTTGGCACCACAGCAATAATCCTCAGAGGAGATATCAAAAATAAACTTGCTCAAACACTACAGAGGGGCTCTTACTGGCTACAGACTAATACCATCCACACATGTTTTCAATCGGACAGTGACTAATATAATTTCCAATCGCTAATTCAGACTGTATTAGGCTTAATTAGGAATTTACAATGTCATTAAGTTGGACTGTGAACCCAGTGAACTCTGTTTTGCACTTTGCCGTGGTATCTTGTCACAGATACTTGCCTTGTAGGAATCAATTCCACATTTATCGCTGGCATCCTCTTCACACATACTTCCTGCTCTAGCTGCATTAATTCCGGCCAGGCACCGGCTTTCTCTCAGGAAACCGAGGCAGCACTGTCGTTGGGCAGTCCTGGCAGAGAAAGGGATATGTTAGAAAGGAGTGCAGAAGTGTTTGGACTGCAACTGTGGCCCTCCAACAACGAGCGGGCTGACTATTCTTCCCATGAGTGCTGCTACAGAGCTGACTGCACTGTGTTTTCAAGTTTCTACGAATTTAATTAGGAGGAAAATCTGTATAATAATGTCAATGTACTAATGTTTCTTCACCTTTTTGTTAAGTCCAGGACTATTAAAGCTGATTTACAGTGTGTTGCATTAAATTATAAGAATTAAGATAAATAATATGAATGGGTGTTTCATGATGTCCTTACCAGCAGATGGAGTGCCTATCTCTGGTGGGTGGCTCCATGTTGTTGCAGTGACCATTAACTGAAGCCCATTTCTCCCCTGTCTCACAGCAGGTCTTCACCAGCTCCTTGGCAGATACTGTAATGAAACCCAAACACCGGGATCCAGATTTATCCCACTCAGTGCAGCCAGCGCTTCAGAGGAATCACATGAAAGAAGGGTTACAGTGTGAATTCAGCTGGAGCAGGATGGTGACCACATATGATCTGAGAATCTCATCACTGAGATGCTGTAAAATCTGGTTACAGGATATTTGAAGTGCAACTGAACCTCATCTTTTGCTGAACACTTGTCTCATAGAAATAGACTTAGAGCTGGTTTTGGTGAATACATGCTGAGAATAGCAAGTACAATCTGTGTTTTTCTTTTCAGACTCCTTGACCCTGCTCTCACTTTCATTGGCAGGGAGGAGTATGAAACCCAAGAATCTATAAAAAATTACCTTCAGACCAAAATTGGCCTTTTTTGTTACATTCTGGCTAATCAGAGCTGGAGCAGAGTGAAAGAATCACACATTAGCACTTCATTTCAAAGTGGGTCAGGGAGCAGACAGAGCAAAAACACATTATGCAGTTTACAGGGATAATATATACGTGTATACACGTGTCCTTCAATAACAGGGCAGTGCATTCCAGCTTTGATTTGTGGCTCCTGCGCCACAGTAGAAGACAACTCATGACATCCATGACTTCCCAGTAAGTCACACCACACATAACAAAATATTCTTCAGTCTGGATCCACACAAAAAAACTATTTGTTAACTGTCGGCTGAATGTTTTACCTTCTTATCTTATCTTATCCAATTAGAACCAGATTTTTAGTTGTTTTGTTATTTCTGCAGGTTTATGTGATGACACTGCGCACCACTGGAATTATTCATTTACTTAAAATAATTAGGTCTGCTGTTGACATATGGTGTTTCCAGCTGTAGCACAGATGAAAAGTGACAGAAAAGATAGAAAGCTTGACAGAAAAGAAAACAAATGAGAGCAGGACTAAGAATCTACAACCCTGGCAGTAGCTCTGGACTTTGCTGATGTCAACATGCTCACGATAACAATTTTATCATGCTTCTGTTTAGCAGGTAATGTTGACCTTGTTTACCAACTGAGTTTAGTGTGATCCCATGCTAACATTTGCTAATAAACACAAAGTACAAGTGAGACTTATGGGAAAGTCAGTAGGCTTCATCATGTGGGGATCATGAACGAATGTACTAAATATCATGTGAATTCATCCTATAGGTTAGAGCCACGTCGCCAATGTAAGATGGGATTTATTTTTATTAAGATTTACTTTGTTCATTACCTCAGGTTTAATGAGAGAATTGGAATAATTGAAGTAATAGTAACTACAGTACAGAGACAGCACATATATAATGTATTTTGTTCCTTAATTTAGATTTGAAACTGCATTATCCACTTCGCCTGTATGTAAGCGATGGTTAAGATCAGCAGAGTGATATGAAGTAAGACGGTGGCGTGATATATGACCGTTGTCGGTGTTCAGTTGTCCTACTGTGGAAGCGGACATTAAAGTGTATCAAGTTAGCCAGAAGTATGGGCTGTTCCGGTGTGAGCCTTGAGTGAAGGTGGAAGTCACACAGAGGAAAGACTGAGCAAAAATCTTATTGGACTTCTAAATAGATGAAGCTCAGCATAGAGAGTGTCTGAGAGCGCCAAAGGTCATTCTCGCATTTTTACCTCCACATTCACTATATTTTTGTCGAAATACTTCTCTTTCACTTACCTATACATATCAAGATCAACGCAATTACTCAGAACAGAGCAAGTGACAAGAGCGGTGTGCATAATTTAAAGGCTTAGAAATTAGAAAATCTAAACCTTGAAAGGCACAATGGCTCTTTGATACATAGTTACAGTATCTGTGCCAGCCGCGCAGTTAAACAAGTCTCTTTGAACCTGAGTGAATGTATATTAAAAGACAGAGCATAATTATTCATTCCTTCTTTCGCTTCCTATTCATTTTCTCCAGGTGGAATCAGTTGAAGATTACACAGATTTGCTCCATTTGTCTATCCACAACGTGGGATGTATACAGAGTTAAAATACATACAGCTCATGACCGTGTTTACAAAGGATTTAGCGAATGAAATCCTTGAGAGGGAGACTATGTTTCACCTAAATACTGAGGATGAAAACAATGATAAACCATTTCGGCTAAGTTATAGGCCGTCTGAGTCTAACCAGGTCTTTTCCTGTCTCTCTGATTCACCTTCTAATTAAGCCCATACAGCAACTTGTCCCATTCAGCTGTGCAATAATTAGCCAAGTTGATTTATTGTGCTTGCACAATGTGGGATCTAAAATACGCACTTGAAAGGTGGCTGAGGAGCATCTCTCTCTTCCAGACCTGTCATTATATCTGCCCATTAGACTAGCATTAACACCAGATGCTTAGCTCTTGTCCAAATCCAAAAGTGGTGACATCACACCCTCTGAAAATATGGAGCTAGAACAACAACCAAAAAGGGCAACTCTCGACATGTCTGGAGGTGTCATAAAGCAGCGCGCTGCCACTAATCAAGACTCATGTGCCTTTTCTTTTGCAGACTTGGCAGTGATTTACAATACAGGTGGGCTGGAGAGAACAGGACCAACAATGTTGAATAACACACAAGCTTGTGTGGTTGAACATGTCAGATGATTGATGTTGAAAGCTTAAAAGAATGTTTGCGTTTGTGAATATTTGTGTGTGAGAATGTGTGTGTGTGTGTGTGTGTGTGTGTGTGTGTGTGTTAAGTGTGGGAGGGAGCGACACAGTGTTCTTCTCACCTTCAACATGAGGACTTGCAGAGATATCGTGTCCTCTGAAACACATAATCACTGTCCAAGAACAGCTGGCTGTGACATAACAGGGAGGGCTCTCCTGCTATCACCATGACTTCATATCCAGAACAGCCAATTCAGGTTTCAATTATTGACGACTTTTGTCTTAATCTCCCTGAGTTGTCTTAACCGCCTCGAAGGCTTGCCTCAGTCTTTGATGGTTTTAAATAGTAACCTCCAATCCAATTATACCTCGTTGTGGTTGGATAGCCTGAATGAGAGACTAAAACACACCCTGTTAGGACTTGTCACTAATGCTGCATTGAATTATTGCGAGTTATAGCTTTTGTTTCCTAAAGATGCCGCACACACCCAAACAACCACCTCCTCACCAGGTTTTATAAAGTTGTCTGCAATACAACGTCTGCATTAGAGGCCCTCTTTTTGCATATTAAACTGGTTAATGTATATTCCACTGCATGCCTCTGGCCACTTACTGCACTCTCCACAGTCCTGTAATTTGAACCTGTATCCCTTTGCCTTATTACTCCTTATATATTCCAAGGTTTGCTCACACACCAGAACACAGGAAATTCAGTCATTGCTTGCCAGAGGAAATCCGTCCAAATCCTGACTTTAGACCTGGTGAACTAAAATAACACAGAGGAACAATATTACCTAATTGGCAAGTTTTACAAGTCCCATTAGAAGAAACTTTTTTTTTTTTTTTTGCATTAGAAATCATTATATCAACATCGAATATTTCATAAGAAAGGTTTACTGTATTTCATATTTAGAGGAGAAAACAAGAGTGACTGCTTGTATCGTAAGTATGAAAACATCTGAATACAGCTACACTTTGCCCGTATGCTAATGACAGATGTAGATGAGAGAAAGAAGCAAATCTGTTATTGTGTTACAATTTATCACCAATATGTCTCTACTTACACAGTGGGTCTCTTTTATGACTGGTTTCCTGCATCTGGTGTTGGTGATATTTTTTTTTTATTATTTATAAGCACGAGTGACGTGTGGATCGGGTGGTTTTTCAGTAAGGACAAGTTGCGGATGGGTGATATGCCAAATTTCCTAGAAATGACCTGGAAGGCACCCTAGATTAACCAGAGTGGGCTACGGTCTTCATACTGATCTTCACAGTAGTGGTATAGTAGGAGTGAACTCTCACATGGCCCTAGCTCTGGAATTCACCCTCCTTTTTCATCCTACGGAAAATTATACATCTGGTCAACCCGCTCCCATGTGCAGCATGTTGTGACAGAGCTGTGATGATAATTATGTTTCAGCCATGTGTCATATCAACTCATCCCTATCTAACATTCTTCGAAGTTTAGTTGGACATTATGGTTGGTGTTTGGTAAAGTAGGAAGGGTGGTGGTGGTGGTGGTGGGGGAGGGAGGTTACTGAGAGGAGCATGTGTGGAGGTGTGCTTCAGATGAGGCGATTACTAAGAAGATTTGGAAACCAGTAGCCTCATGGGAGACGGGTAATCACACCGGCTCATGAGGGAGCAGTGAGTAGCGTCTGGCAATCAAGCCACAACAGTGGTCTCATTCATCACATGGGTATTATGCTGCTCACAGGTACAACCCCCAAGAAATCCTATACCAGGTCTAGCCCAGCATCAGAAAGCCTAAACAATCCCATCCCCCTTCTGAGCGTGCACACACACACACACACACACACATGCACGCACACACACACGTCTGGTTTGAAAGAGAGAGGGCAAATGAGAGGGAGTTATTGACTGAAAGAAAAAAAACATTTATCTTGGGCTCTGTTGCACAGCAAAGGGAACCCATTTATATTCAGTGAAAAATAGTTGTGTGCTTGTTATTCATGCTTTCTCTCTTCCTCTCTTTGGCGTACTCAGCTAATGGCATTGATAAAAGGCATTAGTCACGGGTCCTTATCAGCTGGGGCTTTCCTGTCTGTGCTATAACATGTCAGTGCTTTGCAGATCTTCACTTTGTCCAATGACCTTGACCAGTGAACCCTCACAGTGCCATTCCATCCTATAAACTGAGCAGCTGGACCAGTTACTTCAAGCTCCTTATCCCTGGAGAAAAACCCATCCTGCTCAAACTCTCTACCATGAAGCTATAATTTACAATTGAATAGCTAGCTGGACTTCATCCTAATGCATTTATGGCTGGTGTGGAAAACCTTTGAGGACGTCTGTCAAAGCAAATATCTGTTTTTTCCCTGAATAAATAAGAGTTTCTATACTCGCTCACATTTTGCCCAGACCTGACCTGAGTCTGTAGTCTTCCCTAATGAAAAAGTTTCATTGCAAACAGCAACAAATCAGTTTCTAACCTACATCCTCCGACTTTATGCTGGTAAATTAACTTGACAGGTACCTCTGAAACTCACTCCCACGGAGACACCTCACATATGCGTTCTGCATATACTATACATACCTATGGAGGCCAGGTGCTGAAAGGAAAGAAAAGTCCTGACAGGTCTCAACAAAAATCATAGTGTTGTAAAGTACGTTAACCACACACCCCCAGATTGTGGTCTGCTGGACAAAACACCACTAATAAGACAGAGTTCTCAGAATCCCCGTCCTATTTCTTTAGTAATTCAGTCACTGGAGTGGTTACGAGGATGAAATGACAAGGCTAATAAATTTCACCCATTCAATAATTTAGTTCACTTACATCTGAGGAAATAGAGTGAGACTACCCCGCGCCATAGGGCTATAAAGTATGGGGAAATTATGATCTAATCAGGTTTTCCTCGGCAGGAACTTTGTTAATCAGTAGCACTTATGGAACTGAATAAAATTACATTATTTGTTAAAGCTAAAGCAACAGAACTTTGGATTATTATATAGCATTGTATGAGATTAAGAAGATTTTTTTTCATTATTATTTCTTGTATGTACAGTATGTGACTTCACATTTTGGAATAAGACATGGTGTATTTTCTCATATCTTCCTCGGCAGTGTAACTCATCTTCTGGGTACCCTGGTAATCACTTCACTGTCTGCTTTCTATCCCACAGCCTGCAGTACATTGGCCTATACGCCGTGACATGGGATGATCTGTTTGAGAACATGCTTCATGATAATCACATGAAGGACATACACAGGAGGCACAACCCAAGTCCTCTCACCGGAAGAAAGTAGGGAGAGAATTTGCAATTTCAGCTCCTCTTTCCAGATTTATTAGATATATTAGAAGCATAATAATGGAAGAATTGAATCGGGTTTACTATAACTTGCTATTTACAAACCTCTGGAGAAATGAATATAACATTCTCTCAACCTGAATGCATGACAATGAACATACACTAAGTATGGTTCTTTTCTCCTCTGAGTAAGGTAGATAAATGCTATCTAGGGAAAACAGACTTTCCATGGACAATTGTTTTTCCTGGTCCAGAGCCAGCTTGAATGGAGTGATTATGAATTCCTTCTCAAAGGACAGGATGTGAGAGGAGGGAAAGGAAGATGTCCTCTGAAAATGTAACAGGCCAACACAGGCCATCACGAGCCTATAAATCGTCACATTGTGATGTACTTTGATGTAGGCATCGAATGAATCAAAAATTTTTCTTATTTCCTTCAAATTCAACCACTTTCAGTCTTTTTTTATTCAACAAGAAGAGTTCAGATGCTGCTGATCATAAAAGGTCAGGATTATGTAAAACTTTTCAAAAATATGCAAACTCACCTTCTGTGTCTCCCTCCACATCCTGAGCCTGGTAGTTGTTGAGGGTCTGGGGCTGTCTTTGAGGCTGCTCGCCATCCTCTCTCACCCTGACTGGGGCTCTGTTGGTGGGCCTGAGCTGGACTGTGGGATACAAACCCTGCTCCTCTTTACCGAGCGACTGCCTGTGTTGCACTGGGGCTTTTTCTTGTCCCTTATGACTGACAGAGGGGGAGCCGCCATGATTCGCAGTGCGACTGCCTTGGCTGCGTTTGTGGTGGCCAAAGTGCCTGCCTGCCTTGGTGGCATGGGTAGTGTATGCTGTGTCTCTTAAAGAGTCCTGCACCACTCTGATTCTGTCACTGTTACGTGTAATGCTCCTTTCTCCACTTTCCTGTGGTGGTGGCCTGTGGTTCTCTGTGGCCACTTTCTGTGTGGTTGTGGTTGTTAGCAACGCTGATTTTTCACTCTGAGTCCCTGTAGTGGTTGGATCAATGTTATGTGTGACCTCATCCTCGCCGCTCCTCACTGGATTTGGGCTTTTTTGTGTTTCTTTCAGCTCATGTCTCCTCTCATCAAGGGAGCTGAAGGAAGTGGAGCTTGACTCTGGGTAGGCTGGTGGTACTGTAGTAGATTCCAGCGGTTGGGCCAGATCTTGGATTGTTGAAGAGGTCGGCTCTGCCAGCGTATAGTCATAATCCTCTGTGCCAAAACTGGGTGGGTCCTGCTTATACAGTGGTAGAGTGTTTCCCACTGCCAGCTTGGAAAATGGCTCCACGGGACTCATTTGTTGGTTGTCATGACGGCTGGTAATGTCTCTCAAAGGGTTGTTGTTTTCAATGGTCGTTACCCACGTGGGCTTATTAACACTACGAAGGTCACAGCCAGGAATAGGTGAACACATTAACCTTCCACCCTCTTTGGGACAATGGCAAACCTGGCACTGGTCTAGCTGAAAGGAGTGTCCCGCCTCGTATTTCTTGCTGCCATGGGTACAGCCTATTCGCCTACATTGAGTGCATCCATCTGCAGGCTGTAAAATTTCAATGCAGTTGGGGGAAATTTCAGGGCACGGAATAAAATGACAGCTTATTTTCCCTCCTCCCTGGGGACAGGAGCATTCGGTGCTTCCGAAATCCACAAAGTATGACTCCCCCTCTGGGACTTTCCCTTCCCGGAAGCCTGCTTGGATGCAGTCGTAGTACTGGTAACCCTCACAGGTGCAGCCCTTCTGTGTACAGGTGGGACAACAGGCACCGTTCTCTAGAACAGTTTCAAAGCAGTTCTGCAGAACAGGGCAGTCCACGCCTGTGCAGTCTTTCTGGCTTAGACAGATGTCCATGCACAGAAGCATCCAACATAAAAACAATGCTGCCTTCTGAATGTTCATTTTGCATTAAAAAAAAAAAAAAAGAAGTATTCCAAGTAGATGTTCAAAGTAAACTTCTCCTCAGGCTAGATTTTGCCCCAGATGAGAAATAATTTTGTGTCTTTCAGCCTGTGAAGATAAACAGAAGTTAATGATATATTTACAGTATGAAGGTTGTCTGGCATTCAGCTTGATAACAATCGGTGTCTTGTTATTTTGCAGGGTTTTTTCAAAGTTATTATAAAAAACATATGCTTTAACTTAATAACCTGTCTTCTTTAATTTGACCACCTGCCAAATGTATATTTTTCCATGCCTACTGTTTTTGGCACCACAGGGAATGAAAGCTGTGATTTATATTTGATTGCACATGGAAATTTGGCCAAAAGTACGACTGACTGAGGGAAATATGTACAATAATAACCCAACAAAAAGTTGTCAGTTGTTGAAAAAACAATAATGAAATAACAAACCCTCCCCTCTATGACAATGTTATACTTTTCCATACAAAAACAGTGCGTTGATTGTGTTGTGCAGAGAACTCCTTGTATGGGTTATCAATTTTGAGCATGTGCATTTTCATAAAATTGTCTGCTTCCGCAGAATATGGAGGAGATGTTGTGCAAATATTGTACCGTCATCTGAGTGCATTGTTAATGTCTGTCTATAATGACCGGTGGGGCATAAACTGTTTCAGAATACTGTGCTTTAGCAGAGATAACTAATGCTGTATAAACTAGCAGAAGTACTATTATAAGTTAATTTGACATGTTATAATAATATTATAAGGTAAAGCTATGAATATATTTGAAGAGATTTCTGGAACTCTACATGTCTGTACAGAGACAGAGTGGCAGCACAAAGTCAGACTGTGACAGGCTTTATCCTGTGAGCAAGTGATGTGACTTCAAATCAGAGAGCACATTGAAAACCAGATGTTTTCTATTTTACTTGTTCCTGTTTTTCCCTCAATGCTCTCATTTGTGCCAGTCACATGAGACTTATGTGACATTTCATGCTAAAAAAGTCTGCCTCAAAATTAGACATGAACTAAAAATCGTTCTGCATGACACACTTCAGACATTTCCTGCTGATATGTTACTAAACATTTTCAGTGGTGCTCTCTCCACAGCCTCTTCTGTTATCACATTTTCCTCTAAGTACCCTCAACTCCATGTCCTTGGAACAGATTCCCACCAAAAGAGCTGTTTAGATATTACTTTCTCTACAATAGAAACAGCTCATACTTGCATTCTTGTAGGTATGGAGATGCTGTTACAACAGAGAGAATCTACAGGTACTTAGTTATGACTTATTATACTTTTCGATGGTAACAAGGTTACGTAACTAGAAGTGAATCTTCCCAACTGTGCACTGAAATTGAGAAATCCATTTCCAGCCTATTTGCTGAGCTAAAAACAGTGCATGTGTTTAAAAGTAATTTAAAAAAAAAATCACTAAAATGTCTAGAGGTCATCAAAAAAAGTAACATCTGTAGCATTGTCTTCCTTCATCCTTCAGGCAAAGACACCGAACAACACAAAGTGCACTGCAGCTCCATTTAAAGAATCAATGATGTCTTTGTGTGCTGTGGGTACAAAATCATTTTACCAGATCTTGCGGTCTTTCTGCAATAGTGCTTTAAACAGTGTTGAACTCAGTCCTAAAGCACCAAAACCAAAACCAAAAAAGTGTTTGGTCTATCACATTCACAGCAAGTGAGAGGGGGTCCACTAGGTGACAAGGAAATCTGATGGAATGAATGTGAAACTCATGTGGTTGCACCTTTGGAGACCTTGATAGAGGCTGTTTTCTGCGGGGTGGTGGTGGTGGTGGTGGTGGTGGTGGTGGTGGGGGGTGGGGGGGGGTGGGTGTGGGATTGTTTGTTCAGCTATCAGTTCAGGGAATGTCCTACAACATATTCCAAACAGCAACTGTGTGCCTTGCCATTCCACCAGACAAAAATCGACCTTTATGCTTTTGCTTGCTTACACACACACACACTCACACTCACTCACACACACACACACACACACACACACACACACACACACACACACACACACACACACACGTGCAAACATCAAAACCTCAACCCGCGAGCAAACACGCTGAAACTTCGATCCTTCAATATCTCAATGACGGGCAATGAATTAAAGAAAGACACTTCAGCACTTCAATCACTTGTGATGATGAAAACACTGAATTATTCCTCAGCGTGTTGAACAAGAGACTTCAACTTCATAGTCGTATGGACAAATATTAGACTTATATATCTAGGAATTAAGCGCTCATTTAATTCCCGATACGACCACAAACAGACATAAAGTAGCTCGCAAATAAATATTATCTGAGATCAAAAATGTGATCACCCAGATCACAGAGCGCGCAAATATTTGTCTCTCCCGTGGGACCCGTCAAGTGGAAATTAAAATGCTCAGTGTATTACACTGTGCGATGACATCGAGAGGTTTTTATTTATAAAAGTTTTGTTACCTACCTTGCGTCTCTGAGCTCTCAGTGCTGCTGTGCTCCTGCAGTAAACTCGTGCGTAAAGTTTATGCCCTGACTCCGACTTGTGAGGCTGGGAAGCGCCCTCGTTCCCTTATTTTTTGGGGGGGCGGGACAAACCTTCATAGAAATATTGCTAAACCTTTTGAAATATTATCGGTTCCGTTTTCTGCATTATAATAATCCAAACTACGAGAAATGACCTGACGCAGCGACTTCAGAGGAAAACAGCCTAGATGTTGTCAGTTGTCATATCTCTGAGGAATTATTGTGAAACTAGGATAGTGTGTAAAAGTCTCTTTTAGAATATATGATTATACAAAAAATTTGCCCCTTGACATATAATCTTAGGCTACATAGTCTCTATATTGCAATAGCATGAAAATCATAGAATTTTCACTTTTGTCTTCCTTGCATTTGAACATATGTTGTTTACTCACAGGAGCTCATACAGGCATCATTAGTCATCACATGATGTCTGTGATCTTTGTCAACAGAGCTTTTTCGATGGGTTGATTGTATTACAGCTGCTGAAATTTGTGGTGCACATGGTGCACGTGCCTCTTCTGAACAGCCTATAGTGAATTTTATCTTTTCAAAATCTAGTCTGATCCATCTTCATTGAGACGCTAGCGAGAATAAATATGGACAAAAGCTGCTTCAGTGGATGAATAGACTGATCAGACAGGCAACAAGGGGCACCGGGGCCATTGGCCACTTTGTTTCAGGGGTCTCCCTTGACTAATCAATGATAGAGATGAGTCAGTGGCCCCATTATTAGCTTCCTCTCTTCATTATAGTCAGATGCAGGCACAGCTGCACAAGTCACACACTATGAAGTGTCTGTTGTGATTTAATGAAAAGTTTATCTCTCATCTAATTTAATATCCAGGTCAAAAATCATCTCAGTTTTACAGACTTGCTAGAACTATAAAACAAATATCCAAAAAAGGAGCATCTAACTGTCTCATAATGTGCCCTGCATAACTTAACAGAATGCATACTAATGACACCTGCAATGATTCCTCTCTTTCAGTTATGCTGTACCCCATACATGAAGCACATGTATGATGCAAGTCCAATGAACGCAAGTTTAACTGACACACTCATATGATCATTAATAACCTGGACACATGAGCCGAGTGGCTCTGGAGCTGGCTAATCCCCAGGGAAGCTGTTGTCACTCTTCTGTGCAGCCCTGCCTCGCTACAGAGCCTCAAATGCAACCAAGCAACACCCATCAGCTGCTGGTGAGCATGTACAATCACCATCAAAGGAATTAAAATCTGACATGAGCCTTTCTCCCACAGATGTTGTACAAATGACAAAGATTACATAACAGACACGACCCATGGCCACCTGCAGTAACATGTCTGTCGCAACACACTGGACTATTTTGGCAATTACTACTTAAGAAGAATGTTATCCTTTGTGACATGTCAACAACTATGAACGCAGCTTTCAGCTGTGAATTGTTTACTTTCAACAATCTCCAAATAAAAATAAATCATCTCTGTAATAAAACTTAACAGACATGAAGCCCTAAATGCTTCATGTCTTTAGGTTTTAGAACATTTGAGGCCCTCTGACTCCAGAGGGATGTCCTCATGTTGCAGGCAGAGACCAAATGGCCTGTTCCCCCCACAGTAGTTGACCTCTTCGTACTCTTCTGGGGCTAGAAACCCTTAGTGCAGTAATGGCTCTCAGCCTGCAAGATAATGTCATCTGACACGCACTGATTTGGGAGAGGTAATTGCACTCCACACTGTTGTAATTTCTCATTCATGCATGTTTGAATGGTGACTTATGCCACTACTAATTGCCCAAGCCCACTGACTGCAACCCTGCCTCGTAATAATCTACCTAATGGGCACTTTCTCTATTTCACACTAGGAATATTAAATTAAAGTTTAAAGTTTAATAGACTGTTTATTATTTGTTCTCCAAGCAGAGTGAAGTCATTCTTGCCTCAGTTCTTTTGACGATAGCATAGACTTAATGTTCTTGAGAGTTTTCATTAAAAATGATGCCAGTGATTGTGACATCATCGTCTACTTGGGACTCCTAATGCAGCAGGCGTTAATGTTATCTGTCCATTGTGTGATGCATTGTCCTGCTCCTCTGTCTTTGTTTAAACAGGTGGATACAGCCTGGTGGTGTTTGTTGTAACCTTTCTTAGATCACAGAGGTGGTGTGTAAGGTGATCTAAATTGATATATTGCATACCTCAGTCCTGTATCTGTTCACTCCATGAGTAATTTCACATGGACTTGAATGTGGAATCATCCTTAGACATGATCCCATTACACCATTGTGTAATACATCAGCAAGAATCCCAGCAACAAGTACATACAAATACAAAGTGCCAGATGATTCTTTTTAATCCACTAATAATAGTCTGCACTAGTAACAAACCTCACCTATGGCTAATGACCAACAAATGTTGTAAATCTTTTCTTTATGATTTGTTTTTTTCTTGTGTAGTCAAATATGTTTTCTGTCATTGCACTGCTTCAGGTCGATAAGATAAAGGAGAGAGAGGAAGTCTTTAAAGAAAACCAGCAAAGACAAGGCACTGTGACTCTGTGGGGGGGCCACACCATGGGAAATTAAGACCCAAATGTAATGTGGTGAAAGTGACTCCCCACCTGTGCCTTGTAAAGACTTTCCAGGCTGTAGTTAAATGGCATGTCTGGTGAGGGCATGTCAGCTCCATGGAGCAACAGCTTTCAGTTCAGCTCTGGAATAGAAAAAAGTTCAATTCAGCTTCACTTCACTTGTGAACTGAATGTTCAATTTATACTGTATATTTAAATAATGGTGCCATATCAATAAAACAGTGAGGAGGTGGTTAAAATCATTTCATGTCACAGACAAGTCTAAAATACGCTATTATTGACATGATTTTACATGACGTCAATTCAACTGAGAAATAAATGTCTTTAAAGGGTAGTTAGTATACATTAAATGTGGTGCAGATGGAAGCACTTTGGCAAGATTGCACCTCCACTGTTCATGATCATGAATGCATAGAACTGCAAATACAAACCCACTCAGCTCTATCCACCTAATGTCTATGCCCAAGGGAATTTCAAGCATGTAGTAGATTGTATAAAGAGATTTAATACTTACACCACGGCTCTGTAGACTTCCCCTGTTCCATTTTACTTCATGCAGACCAAGTTAATCTGTAAGTGAAAGGGTTTATTACTTCTCAAGGGAAAAGCAGATATTTAAGGAGATTCATTTTTCCTTTCAATATACTGCAATTATTAATAATAATAATAACAATAATAATAATAATAATAATAATAATAATAATGAAAAAACATCATCCACCATGAAGTTCACCAGATTATAGAGAAAATGTGAGAGTCAAGACCCTGTGGACATCTGTCATCTTATCACAGAGTTGAACCATGCTAATCATTTGAAGTGGTCCCACCTCCTGCTACTCTTTTACATTTCTTGGAACAAATAAGGCAGCTCCCTGAGGCAAATGCTGATTTCACTGGATGGTAACACCTTTTTATTATGCCTACCTACAGCAGTTTTTACTGTGCCTCGCACCTAGGGGAACTTTAAGCTTCACAAACTATTTGAAGCAGTGATCCTGCTGAAAGCCTATTACATTTCTGGTGAAAGCAGACCCACCAGTTGAGAACATTGCCATTGAGTAAGAACTTAAGTAAGTGCTATGGTCTTCTGCACCCACTTGTTTGGACCGAGCCAAGCATGGTGGCTAAGAAAAGTTCCCGACTTCACACCAGGAAGGATGCGACTGCTGATGCATGCCAGATGAGGAGACACTGGAAGGAACTGCAAAGCAGCTGCAGGCATTTGTGATATAGGAAAATGATTTATGGGTAACGTATGTGGTGTTGTTGCATGTTTGCAGAGATGAAATGCTCTGATGGTTTCTGGTGCATGCATAATATAGTCGCATAGTATTTATAAGTCAACATTTATAGGACAACATTTAAGAACTAATGGCTGACTGAATGTACTGCAATCAGTAACTTTTAAGGGTTATGATCATTTAACTGCCTGAAAACACAGGCACAAAGTCTGACCCTATTTTTCCTATCGTTTTTGGCTGCTGAGCTCCACCACTGCCTGATTTGGACTGAGGAAATCACATAAAGATCTATCCACGGCCCAGAAACAACTCTATATTACAAGCACTTTTCCCCTTTGAACGAGTTCAGTCTGGTGCCGCACTTTGTGTTGTCTAGACCTGAGCCTCCGTGTGAGGTGCAACAGACACAGAGTGACATTCAGGTATTGTTTTCCTATGTTCTCAGACATTACATCATTCACTCCTAACATCAATTGTACGTGCACTGCCCATGGATAGAGTAGAATGATTTAAATAAATGTAGAACTGAGGCCCACCAGAGCAGCCCAGTCAAAATAATAAAGTTGTACTGTCTTCTCTTCTTTCATTCTCAACTGCCATCATTGTACCGAAGGAAGATGTGTTTTTTTTTTTTCAACTCAAAATAGCTTGAAAACATCAGAACAGATTTTTGTGGTGTGAATATACAGTATATCACATGTGTACATTGCTGTTGTTGCAATGGTTGCGAGCCTGTTGGAACACAGCACCAGTCAGTGATGGGCCTTTGTCGCTAATGCACTCTGACTCAAACAATATCTCATCTTTGGCACACAGCAGCATTATGCAAAACATTTCAAAACCACAATGTAGCCTATATTTGTTAATCAAGCTGTGAATCTCTCTGTGTCTGGAAAACCAGAGGCTCAATCCAGGAGGAGTATTGCTGTAATAACTTCAAAGCGGATGAGAGGATGGATCAGAAATAATGTAGCCAATTGAACTCAGACTGCATAATTAACCGTCTGTTCACAATTCATGTTTTATCTCAGGACCAATTTTAACGCCAGAAAATGATCTCATGCACAAACAAACAAAGGGGAAATTAGATTTTAGCTGTTTTTAGAGTGATTTAACTCTGCATTGCACCTTCGCACATGTTGCCATTTCGCTCATTTTCAGCTCTGTTCTTTTCAGCCACTGTTCTTTTGTTA